TTTCCCTCTTTCTTTCTCCCCTTCTTTCCCCCAGTCAAGTCTGTCCCGTATTCAGTAAGTGAAAATAAAATAAACAATAAAAGGTGAATCAAATGGACCATTATGGCAAGGCTGGGATGGTCAGTTTGGTAAAGTAAATCCGTTGGGCATCTTTCTTTGCCTTTAGACAACAATTCTGAGGGCAAAAGAGCCAAACGGGACAGGCCAAAAAAAAAAAAAAAAAAAAGCTGCTGCTAATTGTTTTTTCTTTTCAGTTTCGTTTTCCCATGCTTGTAAAGTGTAAAAGTAAAGTATAAAGTGTGTAAAGTGTGCGTGTTAGTCCCCATAGGGAAATAGTTCCTCTGCATTTAACCCATTCACCCAGTGAAGCAGTGGGCAGCCACCAATGCAGCGCCCGGGGAGCAGTGTGTAGGGACGGTACCTTGCTCAGGGGTACCTCAGAGTAGCCGTTCAGTGGAGTCGAACCCCCGACCTTCCGATCATGGGGCTACCACTCTACCTACTGAGCTATCCCTGCCCCGAAAAGCCTATACTCTTGTTTTAATTTTTTCTTTGGGTCTTTTGTTAATGTAATTTCTTGCTTCAGGACAGCTCTCAGCTGGGTAACAGCTGAGGGACTGCATTTCCCTTCCCAGCTGCGGTTTTTAGCTTTTTGTGGATTTCTCCACCTATTTACAATTATTTTACCTGCTCCGGTTTGTTGTTTTTCTAACCATTCCTCATCAGGTGTTAATTTTGCTTGTTTATTCCCCATTTTCAAAGATTATCCTGGGCCGTCCCTGTCACACGTGACTTCAGAGTGGTTGCTGATACGGCCTTTGACTTCACCCTAGAGGTGAAACGGTATCAGTTTTGAGATGAAACTCAACTGTTCTCCTTTGTCACCAGTACGTGAGCCTCAAGCAAAGAAAACAAAAGGTAAGTAGTTCAGCAGCGTATTGTGCTGTAAAATCAACTTACTTCCAGACACATACACACATAGACTCAGGTTTTAGAGGTAGCCATAATTACTTTGTAACAAATTGTAAAAGCGCACAAATGTCTAATTCGGTTCCTTTCGGCGAATCCTAACCTACTTTAAACCTTTGCGGCGGTTTTATATACCAAAATAGTGTTTAAAGAAGAAACCACCAATTGAAATAAAGTAACAAATATACCAGAAACAGGGGGTATAGCGGAAGCTGAACACCAGTAAACCATGAAACAACATATATTAATTCTTTAATTAATTTCCCACAGTACCTATAATGTTAACATGTTAGGAAACAAAAACTAATTGAATAATCCTACAAACTAATTCAAATCAAAGCTGAATTTTAATGTTGTTAACAATACAGAAGCGCGCACACACAGCAACACAAACATAAAGAACTAATTAATATTATTGGAGACAACGATACAAAACACACACATTTCAAAGCCTCAGAAAAATTACCAGAGAACCTAACTGTCTGACCAGCATGCTTCACAGACAAATTTGTTTTCTTTGCTCTTGCGGGGCTTCTTTGCACAGCCCCTGTGGTACCACCGTGGGCAAATGTCACAGCCAATCTGAATTAGACAAAACAAGGAAACACAAGTATTATGTTAATAGTGTTGTACAAATAAGTATTTAAATAACAATTTTGCAAAATACTCAGATCATAAAGCAGTCCACCATTCATTACAACTACAATAAGTCAGATGATGTATTCACATGGTCTGTGACATTTTTAAAATTATATTTTTGTTTTGTTTTTTTTAATCAGCTTTTTAAGCTGAATGGGCTATGGACATGTAAAACATAAGCATTTACCCATTCCGTGTCACCATCATGGTTCCCACAATAGTGGCATAGGTCAGTCAGGTCATCTTCAACAACAAGAAGCAAATACTTTAATTTTAATAATAATGAACTCTGTTTGCATGACTACATAATAAGATTATAGCAATAAAAGAACAATGTTAAAAACACGTTCAATGTAACAGTTTGTAGTTTACTATTTAATTTATATTTGTAATGATACCTGTATTCTCAAGAAGACATATTGCAATCTGTTGTCTCAGACTTGCAATACTTGAAGCAGAGTTCTCAAACTTTACTGGAACATCTTTTAAGATGCACTCAGCAAACTGTGAATAAAATATATAACAATGCTGTCATTATTTGAAATAACATTTGCTATTCAAAAAATTGGAATCATATTTATTTTTAGAAAATCATAGTAAGTGCTTGTGTTGAACAAGAAAGAGGACACAAATGGAGACACTGGAGGAGACAGAGCAGAGACCAGCTCGACGGCAGAGAGACAAGCTAGCTGCCATCAGGACAGTGTGGGATAAGTGTGTGCACCACCTCCCCCTGTTTTACAACCCTGGGACTAATGTCACCATTGATGAGCAGCTGATCCCATTTAGTTGGGAAACATATTGCTTAACGTGTAAATGTGTTGTGTCTTTCCACTCACTCCACTTGATTAGAACTGATTTTTTTATAACATTTTATAAAAAAAAACCAAAAAACAAGAAGCACATTAATTCAGAAATGTGATCTAACAAAGGTAAAGGGAAAAAATTAACCATGTTTGCTGTTCATATGGCTTGTAATTGGGATGAAGTAAACATCTGTTGAGTAATTTAATATAAAATTATTTGATAGTGTTAACAATCTTACAGATTGTTGTTACTTACAGATAGGCTGGGCTGAGCATTTGTGGAACTAATGGTCTACTGAGATTTTCACACAAACATCTCACAACAGAATGGTTGCAAAAACACAATTAATTTAGTGAGTGGCAGTTCTCTGGGACAAATTGTCTAGCTGATACATACCAGAGAATGCATTGACTGCTACAGCTGGTAGGGGGACTACATAAACCCAACATAACTGACCATTTACAACCAGGGCTGGCAATAGAGCATCATGCACCAAGAATTGAGGAAGTTCAAAAGGAAATTTGAAGTCCATGGATGGTTACATACTCAGAACATAAAATATTGAAAGCTGAAATCTTATAAACGTTTACTCTTACACCATGTAAGTAGTTATGAAGTTAACCTCATTTCCATTAACATAAGGAAATTAATGTAAGCAATTGTGAAAAATATGTATATTTGATCATGTAATTTATCATAATTTGCTGCAGATTCTGCATGCCTTTTATTCATTATGTTTATTTCAGTCATGGTCTTACACATACCTTCAATACGTAGGCACCACATGAAGTTGCATACTGTTGAATAGGATGAGGCAGTGTGTCACATGCCCATCTTGATGCATTAAGCCCTCTGTGTCTCATGAAAAACCTGAAAGACACATGTAGTAAGGATTAATAAGTTGTTCTGTATAAAGGATTTGCGTGCTAAACCTAGACATGTAAGGTGCGTGTGGGGTGCTGGTACAAGCCAGGGGAAGGACATCCAGCGGACATCTTGGCCAAATTAGAAAAACAAAACACCAGTGTTGTTGACCAGGGCCCTGTTTCAGGAAGCCGGTTTAGTGGAAAAACTGAGTAAGTATACCCTGAGTTAACGAAAACTCTGGGTTTTCGGTTTCACAAAGCGAGTTCAGCTGAAGCCTAAGTGAGTCACTATGACGACACACGCCGTGAAGCTAACCTGCCCCCTAGCAGGTTTACTACAACTAACCCTGACTGACCCCGCCTCTTTGTCGGAAACCTGACAGCAGGAAGTGTCAGACATGGCGTGTCCCTTCCTTGAAGAGCCAGTAGATCTTGAAGCCCAAATTCTCCGCAGAGCTCTCCGCCGGGAGAGAGTGATCAGAGCGCGTATGGACATCTTATCATTACCTGATGATTTCCTGTGCGAACGTTACCGTTTCTCAGCACAATCAATAAGTTATTTGGATAACATCCTCAGGCCATATATTGCGCATGTGACACATCGCGGACATGCGCTCAGTCCATTACATATTCTTTGTACCGCACTCCGTTTCTTTGCAAACGGGAGCTTTCTGTACAATATCGGTGACGCTGAGCACGTTTCCAAGGCTACCGTCTGTCGGGCAGTCAGGAATGTTACAGTAGCACTGAAACGTCTCCTGCACTCGTTTGTGGTGTTCCCCGGTCACAGACCCACAAGATTCATCAAAGAGGGATTCCACAAAATTGCAGGTATCAGGATGAACAAAACTCAATGCATGATGTGGTGATACGTGAACTACCACTCAAATGGTACATAAATTTCCAGGGTTCCCAGGCGTGATTGGCTGTATAGATGGCACCCACATCCCAATCATTGCACCCTCAGCAAATGAAGGAGACTATGTGAACAGGAAGTCCGTCCACAGCATCAATGTACAGGTACATAATTCCCTGTAGCATTTCACACCAACAAGTGATGGCATCATGGTAATGGATGCTAATATGTGTTCTCTGCACTGGGTAGATCATATGTGATGCTGCCAACATCATCACAAATGTGGAAGCCAAGTGGCCAGGCTCTGTACATGACTCACGAATCTTCCGGGAATGTACACTGAGCACCAAATTTGGACATGGTGGGTCGAAGTAACTGTGAAATATACAGAGACCAATTGCCACAGGGACGTTTGCACTGACATGTATTCTTCTGTCCTAGGAGAGTTCACTGGCCACCTGCTTGGTGATAGGGGGTACCCATGTCTACCCTATTTGCTCACCCCTTACCCTGACCCTGAACCGGGCCCACAGCAGCGTTATAATCTGGCCCATTGCAGGACACGGGCCAGAGTTGAAATGACCATCGGAATGCTCAAGGCCCGGTTCCAGTGCCTTCGTGGACTCAGGGTCACCCCAGAAAGGGCATGTGACATCATTGTGGCATGTGTGATCCTACACAACATTGCCACGATTAGAGGTGAACACTGTCCAGCTGAACCAGACATCAGCAGTGATCCACACGATGAACATCCTGACCCACCCACGAACGTACAGGATGGAAGAGCAGTCAGAGACACCATATGCCACAACCATTTCCTGTGACCCGTCAACCCAACATGTTACAAGACAAATACACAGATACTGTGGTCAACTGCCTTTATTGGTCACCCTGTATGTCCTGTACACAAAGAATAAATGCGTATATTAGTATGTTGTACAAACACTGACATGATTCGTCCATCTATGATCACTCCACCCACCCTTAACTGTTGTTCCAGCAGTACAATCTCCAGCTTCGACTTTTGGATCTGCAGCTGGAGGTGCACCATTTCCATGTCGCACTTTCTTATCTTCCTGGCCAGATATGTCTTATACAGCTGCTTCACAGGGAGCTATTGCAACAAGGGACATAGCATTGGCATCCATAGTACATGCCTACTTAGGTTGGTTGTAAATCAGTGCTGAACAACCCACTGCGGAAAGCTTCGTTGTAGGAGTGGCTGGACCCTCTTCCTCTTCATTTCCAGCATCACTCTGCCAGGGACATAGTAGGTCCATGGTGTCATCATAGTACCACATTGTCGTCAGTTGTTATATTTTCCACTGTACACTGTATACCTCATAGTGTGGCTCTGTTGCGGCCTCCTCTGTAGCAGCTGTCACTGTTTCGTCATCATGTGCCTGTGGTGGAGACATTTAACAACATTGCTGTTCTACTGTTGACACATGTAGTCTGTGGAGTATTACGAGTACTCACAACTGCATGTCGGTCTGGCTCAACAGGGGGCTGCACCAGATGCAGTACACCATCACCATCAACTGGAAGAATATGGGGTTCATACAGGTCACTCATGACTTATGTGGGCGCAAATGGCAATTACCAGACATACCAATCACCATACACCTCATTGTCAGTATGCTCTCAGAGACAACCGACACTGAGGGAAGGCAAAATCAGTAGGTGTCAGGGTGGAAACGCTTTTATGAGCTTTATGTTGCATTGAGGTATATGTTCATATGTTACACTTATTGGGAAAGGTACGGAATGTACTACTCGCTCTGTCTCTGGGAACAGGGAGCTCACCCTGTGGGAGGTTAACACACACACACGCATGTATGCAAAATTAAAGGACACTGCTATGCTCATAATAAAGACGTACCACTGCAGCTCGGTGTGTGTGAGTCTCTCCCTGGGCCCTCACCCGTGCAGCACGTTAACAGTTTCCAAGTGTCTCAGTGTTGTTTATTCACCTAACTGTTTGATGACTGTCATTCTCTGTCAGTAGGACAGTAACTTCACTACGACATAGTTCATTTTGGTCAAGGTGACTGTGCAGAATGGATGTATGCACGCCATGTATTGTTTTGGATTTACCCCTTATGTAGGCACTTGTGTCTTGTGGGGTTGTTGCCACAGAGGATGTCCCCGCAGAGATGCCTTCAGCCACAGGGCGCCCACTGTTTTGGCTGAGGGCCAACTGCTCAGCCTCTGTGAGTGGTGGTGGTGGAGGACCCCCACCTGTTTTTCGGGCCTCCGCTTTTTTTCTGTTGGCTGTGACGGCACACATTTGGGCATACAGAGTAGGCAAATGTGTACTTGTGATGTGCTCAGATAATTTCAATATGTGCTTACAGGTGGTATATTACTGTAGCCTCTAACTGCAATTGATTTACATAGGACACACAGACCAAGCACTATGGCTCATAATACAATTACACCTTACCTGTTTGGACTATGTTTTTATACTTCATTTTTACTTGCTGCCAGGAACGTTTGGGGCCTGTTGGGTTGCACCTGCGCTCACATCACATCACAAAATAAAATGTATAACATAATAAATAGAATGACATATGATAAAATAACGTGTTATATGGGTGGAAATCCCTAGATCAATGTTTAAATTAACACTCACGCATTGACTCTGTCGGTTATGTTTTGCCATGCATGCTCCCTTTCCTTTGCAGCTGCGGCTGTGTTACTTTTTTTCTGCATGATGTGCATGCTGTCGGCATATGCTGCCATCAGAATTTCCGCCTCGAGTGCTGTGAAATACGTCGACCGCGCCTTCTTTCCCTCCGTCTCCATGGTGACTCGCTTAATCTGTGCTCCACTGATCGGGGCTTTATGTATCCTCGTGCGCGTGCTTAACTTGGGGTTGTAGCAACTCCGCGTTGATTGAACTAATTGTTATCAGCCTTTCTGAAACGGAATATTCCGAGTTGGACAGTTCGGGGTTACTCAACCGTGAGTGTCGTTTTTCACTCTGAGTTTTCTAAACCGGCTTCCTGAAACAGGGCCCAGGGGTCCGTTCTTCGTACCTCGCTTACTACATCCAAGATCAAATCATCGTGCCAACTTTGAGCTCGCTATTCCGGTTCTCCGAACACACCTGTTGTTGACGATTAGTATAGCTGGATGAAGTAATGTGAGATCACTGGGTGGTTTAACAGGGGCTACGCATCAATAGTAGAAACATTGATCGGCGAAAATGTCGAAGGAGCGCGCTCAGTATTTTTCGGCAGCAGAGCAAGAACTCTTGAGTGAGGGATTTCAGGAGTTTCAGAGTTTAATTAAAACGCAAGGGAACACTGCAAAGGCTGCAAAAGCAAGGAGAGAGGGCTGGCAGAAAGTTGCTGACAAATTAAACTCGTAATTTAATAATAATAATGGAGTGGATTTATATAGCGCTTTCCAATGCACCCAAAGCGCTTTACAATGCCACTATTCATTCACTCTCACATTCACACACTGGTGGAGGCAGCTACAGTTGTAGCCACAGCTGCCCTGGGGGAGACTGACAGAAGCCAGGCTGCCATATCGCGCCATCGGCCCCTCTGGCCATCACCAGTAGGCGGTAGGGTAAATGTATTCTATTACACTATATTATCCAATATTATATTACATCATATCCTCTTTCACATTAGAGCCACAACAGGACCCACTAGAACATGGGAACAAGTAAAAGTGAAATATAAGAATATTCTACACAATGGTAATATTTATCACTTATATTGCTTTTAGTCTCTTGAAAAGAGACCCTGAAATAATCTGTTTGTTTGTTTATAACAGCAACCAAGAAAAGGGCAGAGCAAAAAAAAGACAGGTGGTGGTCCTGCACCCCCTCGTCAACAAGTAAATAATACTCTCACGGGAAAATCGATATCTCTATGAGCACACTGTCGCGCTGAGCTAAAGGATCCTGTCTATCCCGCAATATACGGTGAATTCTGGAAACTCTCCTTATCAATCTTGCACCTTCCGCAATGGGCTGCTCGCGTATACGGACAGGACATGGCTGCGACAGACTTCCCAAATCCACCTTCGCTTTTATAGCCGTGGTCTCTCATCTTGATTACACGAAGTAATTTACTATTACTACTCTGAAATATGAATTACATCTGTAATAATCACATACATGTAATAGAATGATTGATAGTACCTTTTTTTTTTTTTTAGAAAATGACCTGTATGTATCTGTATGAAATCAATAAAAGGATCAAGTACTGCATTATCTTTAGTTACATTGATAATATTTATTTATGGAAACACAGTGGTAAAATATCGCTGTTGCTTTTGTATACATGAAGCGGACATACCTGAGTGGCCGCGATCTAATCCTGTTTACATAAAGTAAGCCTGCTCCCAAGCAGGTTTACGCTTACGGATCTGTTGCTATGACAGCAAGTCCCGGATGAGCTTCGGAGAACCGAACGATCCAAGATCACGCGAAATCGTCAACAATCTCATCCAGCTAACTCACTTAGCGCGGTACGAAGAACGGACCCCAGAAGGTGGAAACTGTGCTACAGTTGGGTAAACAAGGCACAAGAACTTGCCTACCTACATAAACAGTCATACAGCGGGATGCACAGAGGACAGCTACACAGGAGGAAATTAATAAATAATCTGGGAACCAAACATAATCCAACAACCCCAAAATATGACACTTTTCTCTATAGAATAAACTCAGGGTTACAAAGTGAGCTTTTAACATAAGCCATAATACAAAATCACAGGGACACAAGACAACTCAAAACACGTGGTCGATAGACCCAGGATCCCAACAAACTGTGTTTTTGATTAAATGAGGCATAACCTACAAATGTAATTACATGAGTCATTTTAAAATACTGTATACACAGAAGGTGCAGTGCTCCGAAAAATAAAAAGTTGAGTTTTCTAATTAAGAGATTTGTGATATTTCAACAAGACTGTTGAATACAATAAAGTAATATGCTTGGAATTCATACTTTTTAAAATATATTTTAAAACATGATTGTCTTTGAGCGTATAACTTCTACATCAAAGACTTAAAAATAAACTGAATGTGTCAGCTTGTGTATATTTGGCAACATCCAGCAGCTCCGAAATGTGAGATGAGGATGCATTAGACCACAGGTGTCGAACTCCACGCCCCAAGGGCCGGTGTCCTGCAGGTTTTAGATGTGTCCTTGATCCAACACAGCTGATTTAAATGGCTAAATGACCTCCTCAACATGTCTTGAAGTTCTCCAGAAGCCTGGTAATGAACTAATCATTTGATTCTGGTGTGTTGACCCAGGGTATTATCTAAAACCTACAGGACACCGGCCCTCGAGGCCTGGAGTTCGACACCCCTGCATTAGACAGATTATTTTAAAGATCATTACAACTACTACAATTTTAAGGTAACTTATAATGTCACTTTCTGAGTTTTAAATGTTTTTCTTCTACTGGATTTACATTGTGTTAACACATATGCAGAGACAAATTTACCTTGAAATGTCCCGGCATTGTTTGACTCTCCTTTTGCTTTCACCAAGTGAAAGGGGGCCCTTCTCCTTTCTCCAGGTTTGATCACCTAAATGTTGAAGCACTAGAGTTACAAATAAATAAAATTGACGATGTACTTGTGTCTTGCAAGGCACACTGAATGCACTACTTAATCTATGCTTGAACATAAGATCAAGATGGGTGAGAAATTAATTTTAAAAAGACACACAATGTCTTAGTAATATGCTCTTCTACATTGTGTCTTGTCTTAATTGCAAATGATTCTCCAATTGTCCAATTTGGAGAATGTTTTAAAATGTATTTATATTGTTCCTTTAATTGGTCACCCAGTAGTCTATACGCAAATGACCATGAAGTATGAAAAAATTATTACCACCAGCATCCAGTGATGACCTTCATTGACAACTCCCAAAATATACTTGTAGAAGACTGGGTCAATCTGTAACACATTAAAAAAAACAAGTTAGACCCACCTCACTGATAATACGTATTGCAAAGCTTTTAAGGACAACTTAATGACAGAATATTGTTTAATACCTTAATTTTTGGCTTATTCCACTTCCATACCGTGG